TCGTAAACTACGTTTCGTTGTCTAACGTCCAGTATACAACTGTCCTATTTCGCGCTACGTAATAACGCCTACGTGCGCATGTGCAACGTAATGCAGTTGTGATCAGCGCACAAATCGCTGGATACTGCTAGAATTATTGTTTGGTATAAGTTAACTGTGTTATGTACACAATACTATTTTTTAAATAATGTACTCACATGGTAAAATTAAAATGTATAAAATAATTGTTTTGTCGTTAACGCGTTTGGTGAATGGATTGATTATCGAGCCATGAATAATATTCAATATTTTCGTATATTGCGAATATTATTGTTGTTTATTGTTCATTCAAAATATTTACATATCGAGTCAGAAAACCCATTAAAAACGTGATGTTTTTGTATGCACATTCGTTACACGTATGAGTAAAAAAATATTATTATTTAATAGTTGCACTATGCTGTTTATGATATCTACTGTACAATTTAATTCTGTCACATGTAAATCGTTACGAACATTTTTCTATATTTTTCTGATAATAAACATATAAGATTTCTCGCGGGCGAATATACAATAACATCTAAAATTATCGCTCGAGAATTGTCGCGTGAATTAAAATACAAAATAAATAAGATTAGATTAGCTGTAAAATGGATCGCCAATAAAAAGGGGTTAACAGCCCCTTCCATCTCACAGCATCTTCATCGCGCAATGACGTAGCTATTAGAGGGATTGATACGCTTAGCTTGTTTAAGCGAAATCAATTACGGCCGCCGACAGGCCTACTGGCATAATCTGTCGGTTGTTAGGTACGCGCCGCCTGTGCGACGTCATCTCGGTAGGGTGCCATCGCCCGGTGGGCTTCCAGGTATTGCGAAACGCCGTCGGCGTCCAATCAGAGCCGAGGATCGTACTCACTTAAGCTCATGTCATTCGATTGAATTAATCTCCCGGACTCTTGCTTACCACGGAGACGCAATCCGTTATCCCTAATCCGAAGCGTTTAGAAAAAAAAAGAAAAAAAAACCACCGAGTCACTCGCTGATATTGGCATTTTCCTCGCTATTCTCTGTGTAAACGCGTGAGCAAAGTGATTTGAAATACTTTCACCGGGTATTTTAGTAGATTGGTCTCGATTAATCGATATTTAAGACTCAACGAATGTAATTACCAATAGTGATATTTATATTGTACATACACGACTAGGAAATGAAGTGAATAATTGATCTGAATTCAATTAATAATAGTTAACAGCAGTTACTTAAGCACATAAAGAGTACCTACATTCTTAATTAGTGACGTAGAAGAAATCTATTTAAATAAGTTACATTCTGCAGTTAGAATAACATAGATTTAAATAGATTTTTTATAATATAAAAATTTCAATTTACTTCCAACTTGTCGGGAATGTACGAAGAACACGCGAAACCTTTTATACAAATTTCGATGCTGAAGAGCATCGTTGAGATATATTTGGACATACCTGCGATGCGTACGCAAAGGGTAGCGTCCAGAAGCAGCAAGGGTGTAATAAAAATGCAGATGTGGCTGATATTGTAGAGATCGATCGGAGCAACTCGACCATTCCGCGGCAATTGATCGGTTTCCTGTGCACTTAGCTGCACGAGTTTGCACAAATTGCATCGACACGCGCCATCGCGGAGAATCCCCCCGTTTGCACCTAATTTCGAATTAATCGGCTGGAAATATCCGCCACATGAAGGTATCTGTTTTGCCGACTTTACGTAGGAAGGGGTGAGAGGAAGTACCGACATGGCTTATCGGCCCCTTCCGGCAAGGTCGTCTTATATCGATTTAATGGCATCGCGTGCTTAAATTCGCGTCTCTATCTATTTTTAACTAAAGTTGAAAACATAGATGTGTAAAAAAAACATCTACGCGATCGAGAACAATTCCTGCGATGAAATTTATAATAGAAGAACGATAATTCTGAATGATAGTTCAGAAGCTCAAGCTTTTTTCTTATAAATACATGTATATTATTTTTTAATCATAATAATAAATTATGATTATCGCGTCTTATTTTAAACAGTGTTATATACAATAAACTTTGTCGATTTTTGCCTGCTAATATTTTACATATGAATTTTAAATTGTTTGATCCAGAAATTTTGCTTTTAAAATAAGAATATTTTATTTCAATCACTTCTCCCTAATTTTCTTGCAAAAATTTAAGATTATAAGTATTAATATAAATATTTTAATTTATTTAATCATATATATATATATAGAAAGAATGTTTTTCATATATTAAAAAGAATAATAAAGAAATTCAAAAAGTACTAGAGAAAAATAGTAAAGGGGTAGTTTTATCTCTCGATACTCACTACCAGATGTCGGGAGCGTTTAGTCCATGTAACGTGATAAAAAGTAGTAAAAGGCGCGTATCGATACCACGTCTGGCAGGAAACTTCTTTAACAACATATGCAGACGTGTCTTTCAATTATTATGTGAATAAATAATCAATGCATATAAATGAGACTTTCATAAGTATCTATCTTATATCTAACAATTAATTAAAATTTTTAATTTTATCTCCAACATATACATATTTAAATTTACAATTTATATTATGTGCACTTGCTTAGTATATATTTCTGAAATTATTTCCTGGCATAAATCCAGAACTGTGCAGATATTTAATTAAAATTGCAACACACGTTCCTTTGATAAACCTAGTATCGGACATTGAAAAATTAAAGCTACATAGAAATTAACAACAAAATTCATAAAAAAAAAAAAAATTCCCTCTTTTCACGTACACACTTATGTGTAGTGTTGCATATCCGCCAGAACCTGTTCTCGCAAAAGATTGAATGCATATTCCGTTAGACGACGTGCACGTAGGCTGGCGCCAGCTATCGAGAAGCATCACAAGCGCATTGCCGCCTCTCACTGGGTGACAAACTTATATTTGGCGGAAAATCTTGCGTGGCGGAAAAGCGTCGTGGCGGAGATCGGAAAAAGAGGGGTGAACGACGGAGCGAGGGAGGGTTTCTATGGGAGAGGGAAACGTTAGGGGAGCGCCGCCAAAAGAGGGTGGAGTTTCGCCGCGCAACGTGTTTGCATCGTCGAAGAAGTAGGAAAAACGTAGCCGCGCGTGCTCGCTTGATTTTTTCTTCCTCACGTCCTGTCGCTGTCTCGCTCGTTCGACGGGGGATGCTAGGCGTGGTTTAAAAAAGATTTAGCAGCTCGTGAGAGGGGAAGGTGGAGCGAGCGTAGCGCGGAATTCCGCAATATCGCGAACTGCGACGTCGCGCGAAAAGCCGTCGACCCCGGTGGGGATGAAAAGAGGAGAATTCGTCGCCGCGACGGTTTTGGTGGGACACGCGACGACGGCGAAACGATACACCGCTTCGGCCAGAGCGATCGAGCTCGACAAGAGCCAGTTCAACGCGCACCAATCCTCTCTCAAGATATTTTCTCGTGTTCGACTTACGTGTCATTCCTTTCCACGCATACTCCGAACGAGAGAATGTACAAAAATCTCGCTCTAAGGACAACACGCCGAATGATCATCCCCGAAGGGGTTGTTCGACGTTACCACATTATTAATATGTACATTTTTATAATTAAGATTGTCGAACCTCGGTCAGTTTCTCGCGGTACGAGATGCGGCAGATATATGCATTTGAAAGATGGCATGAAACATTTTTAAATTACAACAAAGAGAAAGAAAAAAATGTGCGTGACGGTGCAAAGTGTTTTGGAAGTGTCCGTCGAATGGAAATTCAAGTGCTCAAAAATTGATGTAGTTGATTCTGTGCGCAGGAGAGATTGTCAGGGAAAATTTGAATATGTGCACAGAGTTCTTTGGTTCGTATGTCAGATAAAACGTGCTTGCAAGCAAATTGAAACTACGTCCGATATATGGTATATCGATACAATAATAACTTTAATAATAAAATAATGTAAAAGTAATATAAAGAGATAACGAAAAATTAATTTTAATTCAAAGAATATTTTATAGCAGCATCGTCTGAGCATCATCCAGCATATTTTCTTATGTAAAAATACTTTTCACGGTCAGTGTTTAATACTTGATAGGATCAGACTATATGCGGATCTTAAAGGGAAACGTCCAATAAAGTCTTCCATGAAACGAAGCCATTCGAGCTAAAGTCTAAGAGCTAATGCTGAAGTAAGCAAAGCGCGTGCATATTCTATATATGTAACATTGAAAAATAATTCATTTTCATAACTGTCATTTCTCTTGCTACGACGCCTTTCGTAATTTATTATTAACGCATAGTTGAAAGCTCACCGAGCTAACCGAACTATAAGTAAATTGTGTGACAAACACTTAGCGTTAATGACACGCGATAAGATAGTTTTTCAGTATTACTTAGCTTAATGCGTCAACTGTCTAAGTTTTCACTCGGCAAATCGATCTGTTTCTCTCATACTAAGCTAAATAAATAATAAAAGGATATACCTGTTGCAAGTGTATAGAGTGTAATAAAATTGACAAAGCCATAAAATAGATAATATTAAAATCGTGCGTGGGAGGTGCGTTATACAGTATAAATTCTTTCGCAAAGCTTTTACAATCCTTAAGAGTTTGATTGTGTAAAAAAAAAAATAACAAAATAATACATTTGGTTATCTTCACACTAGCGGATCTGCCTATATTCACAAAGTCGTAGAGCGCGTAACGCATGCTGGCGACGTCGGAGCCTTCTGTTCCCCACTCTTCGAATTCGATCTATCCTCCCCACCGTCATACACATTCGATTTCCCTACCGACAGTATTGCAACGTACCGGATGCGACAAAGATGGAAAGATTCGCGTGTAGCCCAGCTCGAGCAAAACGGAACACGTGCCGTTACAGTGGGGGCGGAGGAGGAGCGAGGATAACACGAAGGTAGAAGGGATATATCTATACCGCGACGAGAGGGGTATACCAGCCGGCTGCTCTCACCCTCGCATTTACCACACCCCTTCTACCAACCAGTGGTGCGCGTTTTCTCCCACATAGCGGGCGCTAACCGACGGGATCTTTGTTGCCCGCCACGCTCGAGTGGTGTTTCGGTCGTGAGTTTGGACGCTGGTGCCGCGCGACGGCGATCGCGAGAACTTCCAAGGTCGTGGAAGGGTGGTGGAAGGGTTGAATGGTGGGACAGAGCGACGCCGAGAGAGGAAACGAGCCAAGAGGAAGGGTGGACGAAAGGGAGCCTCGGTGGGGCTGAATCCGGAGAACGTATCCGACGAGGATGGGGACACGCTGGCTCTCTCAGGACGCGCAGAACATCAGAGTGGGTCGAAAAGGCCTCTTTCTCTCTCCCTCCTTCTCTCCTACCACCTAGTGCTCCGTCCCTGTCCCTTTCCCAGCATTTTTCTCACTTCCACATACTCCTCGTGGAGAGGCAGAGGAACAGAGCCCCCGATGGCGGGGCGAGAACCGGCTTACTACGCGACGAAACGCTACCACGACGCTCAGTCTTCAGCGATCACACCGCCAGGCAGTAATGGACCTTCCTGAGCCTAGCCTCTTCGTCTACGATCTATCTTTTTTCCTGCTTACGGGGTGACGACAATAAACAGAGATCTCGAATTAGAAAACAATTATTCCACTTCTTGGTTGAATTCAACGATTCGGAGCGGGATTCGACTTCGAAGAGCTTCGGCTACTGATGTCAACGAGAACTTGAGAGAGATTGTTAACAGTTTCGGTGCACAGTGTTGAGAAGGGAGTTCAAGTCCGAATCCAGTCTTTCGAACGACTTGTAAATTGTCTTTCGCGAGCAATTACTCGTTGTACCGGAGTGAAGAAAAAGAAATTTCATTGAAAGCTGATTAATGAATCGGAGTCGACAGATGTTTACCGACATCTATCAGAAGGAAGCTCGTTATTGTACGAAACTTTGGAAAATGAAACTTCGCGAGAGTATCTTCGGTTATAAAGAGATTAAGAAAGAATTGGAAAAATTATTCAACGCTTGAAGATGATATGAAAAAAAAAAAAAAAATGTCCACGTGAGAAAAAGCAATCGCCCTCACAAGACAGGTGCAATAATACGAAAGTGCAATCGCATAATTGTAAGCGAATGACACAAAAGTTTGTGCTGCACCGTGTTAAACCACGTGATATACTAAATCCCACGAGTCATCTTCATTTCCATTCACGAGCGTAAATTTCGCGATCTGGATGGTGTATAAAATCGAGATCAAATAATCTTCCAAATTTTCAAGTACACTGCCTATGAAGATCACAAGAACGTTAAAGGTGCAACGTAACAGTGATAACACTGCGAAATTCGTGGTATCGTGTTAACGTTGTCCAATAACGATAACAAAGAAGAGAACTGCAATGAGGCGCTGCAAGTGCGGGAAAAGTGTAAATAATGTAAAAGTGGTAAAAGTGGAGTAAAACTGCACTACTACATGCTTTCGCATAAGTTCCGAATGTAATATATCCACTAGTCGTATATTGACGAACTCGTTACGTGGACGTGTAATCCGCCGACGGCACTTATGATCCGAGATATTCAATGCGATCAGATAAAGACAAGTGAGAGGTAAGAAAATATCTTGTGAATAATCATTTTGAATAAATTTCACATTTATTAAAGCTATTATTTTATTGCCGAAAATTTAATTGCACAAAAAAAAACGAAAATTCTATTTTCCCTATGAAAAGAATTATCGGAGTTATTTATATCGTGACAGGATTTAAAGGCTAAAGTAATATTTCTTTTTCTATTTTTAGACAATGTTCTTACTGCAGTTAAACTGATAAACTTCGAATACGTTTTGCTTTAACATGTATAAATATCGCAATAATATACTGAGGTCTTTAAAAGTGACTTAGAGAATTTTTAATTTATTAAAATATTGCTTTACACCTTGATAATTGAATGTTTTTACATGTATGCAGTAATTTAGTATTTTCAGTATCTTTTCAATACTCGAACATTTTTATATTGCCATATTTCATATTTTAAATAAACGCGCTTTTCCGCAATATTTAAAAAGTGAACAAGATTGTTTGGTTAAAAAATTTAAAATAAAAATTGTTATTTATTTTTATATATTGTTGCAGTGATAAATATTGATGATATAGAATCCGTAAATGATACATTCTTCTATCAGCGTTTAACACTTCAATATACCCGATACTAAAAAAAAAATTTTTTTTAAATTCACCTAGTGCTATTTCTTTTAATAGAAAAAAAAAACGTAATCGCATTTATATGATAGCATAAACGTTCGTGTATTCATTATTCGGTATTGTTCACATTCACTTCATGAAAGGTATAGGGATTTCCTAAAAGATTATAGTATCTCGCCGAGAGTGAGTTTCGCAAACAATTTTCAAGTGATCATCGTTACTGGAATAGATCCACCTGTTAGACAAACAAGTGGACCACGAATGTCCTTCGCTTTAGTGTGCTTTGAGGGTCCACCTGTGGAACACGTGAAGGTTTTCGTAGATCGGATGTTGACCTGCTAGTTCGGAAAATTTGTCAAATCTGCGGAAAGAAAGGGCACGTGCCACGTTTCGCAGGTAGCAGCACCCCGGGGTTGCATTGTATGTAACGTCAATCTGAGAGTCGTGCCGCTCTTTTGAGGATCTTAATCCCACATTTAAGAGAATCCGAAAGTCTCGGATTGAACTTGCCGAAGTGCGAAGAAAAGAAGACTTATAGGCGCTTTTCGACAGTTTCACGCACAGTAGCAATATAATTACTTCGGTCTTTACAGCCTTTTGAAATTCAACACCACATTATTATGCTTTTTGAAGATATATTTGACTGAGAAAACATAAGTATTTCTCTTTTTTCGCAGAATATTTACTCCAAAAAATGTAAATAAAAGTAACTAAAAGTTAAAATACTCCAATTTTGAACATTTCATATTTCTTCGACTTTATGATTATAATACATCATATTTCATATTGACGAACCTTTAATAAACCTTTCCAAAATTTAACTTCAAAATTATATAATTCTGCGTGTACTTGGTTCATATTGTTCTCATTTTTTATTTTCAAATGTCGCACAAGTAATCACGTTACTCCCTTCATAAAAAATGATACAAAATCTTCGCTCTAATATGATTTTAATTCATACTATAAATTATTCTAATAATTACTATTTTATGAATATCAGATTATAATGAAGTACTCATATGCTGAAGAGAGAAAAAAATAAATAGAAATCGGTCACACGCGAAATATATTTTTCAACATCAAATCGGACATTTTTTATAAGGATATATAAACGCGCGTTTTCTAAGGATAACCAACGAAGAAACACTGAGATAGAAAACGAGGAAAGATATGGACGGGATCACGAGATCTCGATTGAATGACGTATCAAGGAGAATATTAATCGCACGCGATCGAGTCGTTAGAGACGGATATTGCGATAATATTTCATAGCGAGACTAAAGCTCCCTTATTGCGCAAGATCAAGTAAACGGACGTACATCCGCGGATATGTATTCTTTTTTTTTATTAGCAGAAACCCAAGATCTCTGTAAATCATTGTTAATCCTTTTCGATTTCGCACAATAGTCGCATATTTTCTTAATAAAATATTATATATAGGAAATGCGCGATGCATCGAAAATAAATTTGTTGTCGAGAAAGATTAACAAAATGTCAACTTCTTCGCAATAGAAAGGACTCACTGTGTTAGAGATTTGTAGAAGCGGTCGTCTCTCACTCTGATTGTGAGCCGTCGGGTACTCGCCGCGCTTAGTCACTTCATTTCTCGAAGGCGCAATTAGCGCTGCGCAATTGAAATTACACGGTACTTCGCACGGATCACTTTTTCTCGACGAAATTTTAATTAAAAATTTAGATTCATTCATTTCGACTCAATATGAAGGAAAGATGTTTCGCGCAATGGAATATGACGAGACTAATCTCCCCCCAAGAGATGAGACGTCATCGCTGCTACGTTAAATATTTTTTCAGACAATTTTCGAGATTTCGCGGACAATGTATCCTACCAAAAACAAAGGTTTAATCTGAAAGAGACAATCCTGAGTTAGAGATAGTCCTCTTTGGTCGCTCGAAAACGAAGCTGTCTATATATAAACTGCGGTTTGGTACATACCCTCGGGGCCCTCCCCCTTTTTTGGGTCTTATAGAGGCCATTATCCGATCGTGGAATTTGAGATCTGGCCCTTTCAGCCGCGCGTCAAATTATCCTTGAGCACAATGTGCCCGTTGATTGATATCTTCAGTCGTTGCTCCTGCAACGTGGCTCGTCTCGTTCTTTTTCTCGTACTCTGTCTTTCTCTCCCTCGCTCGCTCCCTTGCCTTCCCTTCTTCTCTATCATCCAACATTCTTTTTCTTCTCTCTCTCTCTCTTAGGACCTTCTCACGTAGCGGACCTGTACAAAGACGGGCCCGAATGCTTCTACTCTCTCGCGGGCTCACACAGCCCTTCCACTTGATTTATTCTAAACCCCTGTGTGCTCGCGCTCTCTCTATCTCCCCGATACCGACTTCAAACTCGTTCCTGCCGTCGAGAAAAAATGATGTTACGAAACTGGAGAGCGCTCTTCGCTAGTATTGTGGTCCCCGCATTGTATAAAATTCTGTCTCGATGAAGATCGCTATTGTAAAACGCATCGACGAGAGTCGCGCTCTCTTCTCAAATTTATTTAACGCATATTTCACTTCGCGACCGGTATCGAGAGAATTATTTCGCGGCTATGTTTCACCGCAAACGATTGTTCCTCGTGGCGTGATTCATCGTGACGCGATGGCTGCCGTCGATGTACAAAACCAACTATTTATCCATTTATATATAATATTCTCCAGTCATCTGAAGGAAACATCTGAGTTTCACATAAATAAATTCGTTAATTATTGAAATAAATACCGGATGTGACTATATTTTCTTTCTTGTGTACGCACACGTTTTCCGTGTGATAATAGCGGAAGTAGAAATAGCTTGAAGATAATCGCTCGCGCGCGATGTACGTTCTCGGCTACACGATTTTCCTAATCTAAACTTCGTGAGTTAGGAATCAGCGATGGAAGAAACGAGATATCCGTATCGGTTGCAGCTGTCGGTGAAATGTCACGTCGTTCCTGCCATGCCACGAAAGCGACACTTTAATCACCGGCAATTACGCATGGCCGAATTAGGTAATTACCTTACGTGCTCGCGCGAGCGCACGGAGACGAGGGAGGGGGAGGAGAAGGAAACCCGTTTACATCGTTACTTAGTCCGTTTTAGCTCGAGTTAGTGTAATTAGCGCAAGATAGGGTGTACGCTAGCGCATTATGCGCCGAGTTCGCTTCGAAAACTCGTGTCTTGCCGTTACCCCCATTTCGCTTTCCCGCAACCATTTCGGCTTACATAATGTCGGTCGGTCGTTTTCAAACTTTCCCGTCATTAGCCGTCTCTATCTTTACGCGTCGCTCCGCGAAAAGTGCGATTTCTCGCCGAGAACGATTTTGCGTTACGCGGGATTGCGTGTTACAGAAAGTTATAGATGGAGCAAAATCAACGATGATGATGAATGATGTATCGCATGTGAATTTAATGTCGAATGCGATAGATGATTTATCATGTAAATTGTATCTCAGTTGGAACAAAATACGGCTATTGCTACGCTAAAATCCATGTTTCGAAATTTGATAATTTATGCATAATGTTGATCTTGAGAATAAATTAGCCAAGATTTTGTACCATGTTTTATTAAATGTAAGATGATTATTTGAACAATATTAAAAATAAAAAGTGAGAATATTCAAACAAAATTATATAATTTGTCACCTATCATCTAATTATTGTTACGAGATTTTTTTATTTTTCCGAAATTAGTTTTCTAAGACCATTATCTATGAAATCACTTTGTACATATATATCGGAAAATCTGGTACAAAAAGTTTGGTATATATATTTAGAAAATTAAATTCTCTCACAAATCGAGACAGACACAAACGGGAAGGACTTTGCGAACGATGATTCTGCGAATACGTTCTCTCTTTCGCGCAGCAATCTGTAACCAATGAAGAATTCTCCGAAGAAACCTCCCATCCATATTTTTTTTCATCCGTATGTGTACTCGATGATTCATGCATTCACTTTTACGGGCGCGCATCGACGTATTCCTATTGCATTTCGAACAGTCGAACGAGCGCCGAACGACCGGAAGAGAGTTTTCCGCGTCGCCGCTGCTAAAGGCGGGTTCAGAGAGGATTTTCCTCGCTTTTCCACTGGCTGCTAGAGTAACGAGGTTACGCCTTAAGTATTTGCTCGTCGATTTCACGACGATGGGGTCCTGCCACCACCGACGCCTGTCGTCCACCACCCTTTCACCTCCCCATCTACTGATTCGTCACGCGACTTCTTTTGCCATAGCATCTATATTTCGCGAGCTCGAAAATCCATCTTCTTTAAAAATGTTTTACGTGACTCTTCTGTGTTTTGTGTTAAAATCGATATCCATCTTCCATTAAATTTAACAAGTTTAATGTCGAGGCGATCTATAATAATCTTTTGAACACGTTTCTGTATTTTGTATATAATGTATTATACATTATACATATGATGTTTATGTATATTCGTATACTTTTTCCATGTTATTTGCAAATATCTGACCGTATGTAGAACATAAGTTTGGTAGTCGTGCATTAAAAATATTTTAGATTAAGTAATTGTACAAGAAAATTATAGGAACTAATTAAAATTCTAAGAAATATATTTTTAATCGAAATATAAATTTCAATTTGTTCATTTTTTAAATATCAAGTATTTCATTTAATATCGAATTATTAGAATAAGAACAAACATTTGTTAATTTAAAGATAAAAAAATATCGCACAGTTTGGAAAAACTATTTCTCATTTTATTTTTGCGGTTGTAGAATCGAATATTAGAATAAACTCGTTGACGTGCACGATAATTTCCTTTTATGATCTTGGTTTTTTTGGCATATCTATTACAGTTGAACCTCTCCTATATTCCAAGATAGCAACGTCAGTTAGCTAGGAGAGCAGTGTTATTCGCTTGAACACTTGTTGGTATTTTACATAACCATCGTTACGTTGTATCATCGTTATGTTACATAAAACGCGAGTCAATGTTAGTTATTAAACTTAGTAGTGATGTTGTTCAACTGACTATAACATTTCAACATTCGTGTGGAATCTTCATTTCACTAAAAATAACGCGCGAGTAAATTTAGCAAAAACGTTCCGAAATAAATCAAGCTGCGAAAACAAGCAAAAAAATATACGCAAAAGTTTATTAAACCGTTTGTCCCTCTAGATCTTATAAATCTAAGAAAAACACGATGCAGTTTTCTCGTTGCAAATTTTGACTTATATATTTCGGTAGTTTTCTCTGAGAGAGAATTTGTTAAATGTTACAACACGGTTCCGATCGCGCTGCGCTTCATGGGAGAAAGAATCGATAGTCGAAGGTATTGATCCCTTACAGGTGTGTTAGAGGTGTTATCTATTCTACCGTCTCTCCTTTTTTTACTCTTCGATTTTTCAGGTATATATACCTAGCTAGTTCGATACCTTCAGGAGGGTGCATACGATCCTGCTTCAGGTCATGCGTAGCGTATAAATATTGTGCACAAATAAGGACGGGCCGCGCTTATTTATAGGAATTTTATGAAAATCGCGTCTATACCAAAGAGGGTGACAACGAGGATGCAAAAGAGCTCGGATAACCATCTGGGTTCGCACGGTTAAACTTTCTCTGATGAAAACTACGCATACGAGAAAAATTTCACCAAAGCATTAATTTTACATATCGAAAGTATGCATATCTATACATTTTTTTGCTGTTTAAAATTTTCGTAAACTCTCGTCCTTCATAAATAAAAGTATTCTCTTATCTCATCTGTATATAAAGATTTTTAAAAATTCCATAAACGATAAAACAAATATCACAATATACCAATAAGACTCGTTTGTAGCGTATTTTATAGTGTTTTATATTCGCAAATATATTTTATCAATAATGTGTAATGAAAATTGCGTTAAATATAAATATAAAATATTTTAATAATCTTTCGAAAATAGATACTGTCAAGAATTTCATGAGAAACTACGACGGTCTTTTTATGTTAATAGATGAAAAAAATCCCCTCTCGAAAGTTTTTCTCTCATAGGGTTCCTAAAGAATATTAATAGGTTCCACGTCCCCATCACCCTACTGCACCGAATTTTCGTGTTAAAGGGTTAAGAACTACCCTGAGCCATCACTGTGTGACTTCTGTTCTAGGTAGCGGCAAATCTTTTGGCATAAGCTTATTTAATGTTAATATATCGGTAGAATAATATATGATGCTGCAGCCTAGCGATTAATTTTAAACGAGGCGATGACAGATGCAAAGTAACGTTATAGAAAAATACCTTGCTTTTCGTGATAAATGTGCAGACATGCAGAAAATATATTTTAATAGGTTTCAATTATTTATCTCAATGTTTATGACATAAATGATGCAGATGATGAATTTATTAAATGAAATAATGGCGCAAACAAAAGCAAAATTCGCGCGAGATCATGCAAAATTGATAACGGAGCAAAATATTCTCGTGTGCAAGAAGGAAATTAATAAATATCGAAAATCAATGAGACGAAATTCGGTACGGTCATTGGATTCCGAAGAAGATATTATTACACGGAATAATCTGTAGTTGGTGCTTTCTCTCGCGCCTTTTCTCTTCGTTTTGCCTCCTTCGGTTGATGCGATTTATAATGAACACCCCGCTTGCCGCGATGCTCGATCGCCTAACCTCGAAGACGTTTTGCCGGTTTAAAAATTAAAAAAAAATAAAAAAGAGAGAAAAGACGCGCGATGCACAACAATAATATGAGAAGGGAAGGAAGGGCAGGCAACGGGAATACATAATGCGCTAAGGAAGAAGGTGGGGCGCGTCATGGACCAAGCATGAAATTGAGTTTTGAAATCGACTTTCGACAAAAAAAAGCATATTATCAGATATCTCGTGGGATAAAGATAGATTTTATGTGCAAACTTTTCAGTCAATACTGTGATCGTGTCAAACGAGAATGTCTAAACAAGGATTTCATATATGTAGGTTTATGTATATATGTATTTTCGCGTTTTTAAACATTTTTTAAAAAATTTCAACAAACACAACTTATAATTATTCACATCAGGTTATATCTGATTTATAGATTAATTTTGTGAAAGATCAAATATCAATGATATCGGCAGTGAATGCTTGAAAAACATGCGACGCGTGTGGATTTTATAACTGTAACGATACGCGCGATACACTTGGTTCCCTTCCTTACTGAATTATTCATTCGTTTGTAGGTACATAAATGTGCTTGTACTCGCACGTCACACAATCTCTCGTGAAATAAGTAGCATTAACAACGCATTCATTATACTAATTACTATTCTAAAGTACTGTCATACGTTGAAACCATGCGTATTATCCCTTTGCCTTAAAAAAAAGGTTCGAATTAATACCCGCGCGGACAGCCTAAGAGAGAGAAAGAGAAAGAGAGGGTGTAGGGCGACTCGGAGGGAGGGATCATGAAAAGTCACATGTAAAAGTTATTGTCAAAATAAAAGTTAAACTAATTTCGATCGAAACCAATTTTGAAGAATTAGATTAAAATAACGCGAACACTATACCATGTTTCAATTATTTTAAATTTTAATTTAAATCGTTCTCTTTAGACAATCTCCAATAATTTCGCTTTTTTATTTTTATTTTGTCCTATTAATTATTACAATTTTATACATGATTAAAATGTGTTAATTGCACAGTTATCGAAAAAATTACATACCTCTATAAAATAAAAGAAAAATCATGATAAAGTATGTCAGTTATAGTTTGTCATTCAATTATTCCTTGACATATACAAAAAACTATAGATACACTTGTCCAACTTTTGATATAGTTCAGACGTATTTTATTATTAAATCGCGAAACTTTAAAATCTACTTCACATCGAAATGACATGACTGTCCGGATATTAATCTACTATTCTCTTCTTGTTCTAGATTCAAAGCCAGGAAAGAAGATTGCAACTACTCACAACCAGTGGCAGCGATCGGTAAGATGCTTGGAGGATCGTTAAGCCGTAAGCAATATAACGCAATATAACCTGTTTTAAGAAAACGTAATAAAAAAACTTTATGATAAATATACCGTTTCGCGTGCAACAGTTGATACTTTTATAAAAACATATGGCGCGCATTCGTAGAAAATTATTCGACTATTTCTTGTTAGGTTTTCTTCGATACAAATCTTTTCTCTGTCTTCACAAAATGTTCAATTGATCCGATCCACAAGTCTCATTTGATCTCACTCTATACGCAATTATCAAACATCAATAGAGAAAGTCGCACATTATTGTTGGAGATTAGGAAACGTTCTGCTAGAAAATGTGTCATCAAGACTAAATCGCGCGGTCGACTCGAATCGAAGAAGCCGGGCCGACAAGACGATACGGCCCTGCCCTCGGTGGGCAGATAGGGTATAATCATACCAAGTTTCGTATCTCGAGGGGGCCACGGGAAGATGGTCCAACATCTGCCGCTGCAGGGAATCTCTGCCCACATGCTGGCCGAGCCGCGCGCACGCACGCACACACGTGCGTGCGTAGATACACGTGTATATACGCGTGTACGTGACGCACACGCACGTATCTACACCGGCAAAAAAAAGTGACGTTGGTACATGACGGTGGGACGTCATGTAAATTCATTCGAAACACATGGCAGGGCTCGGCGCGGCGTTTCTCTTGTGCGCAAAGAGTTTCAGAAGAGAAATCTCTGAAGAGAGCGCGCGCGTGAGAGAGGACGAGTGGAAAAACAAACGATAACTTCGACTTTAACTTTGCGTGCCCCCTTTGTACCGTCGCGTCGGTGTTAACGTCGTTGCGCGTTTGAGAGTCGGATAAATTCTCGGATTTGCTTTTGTCTTCGAGAAGCTGTTTCCTCGCCGAGAGATGTAAAGTGTGGTATTTTAGTTGGTCGCGAACTGTTTTGCGTGAAACGGAACGTTTCATGAAAACTCTGTCAGAATTGATTTGAACAGTAGAGCTGATGATATCACTAACTAATCATAACACTCCACGTTTCTACATACGCGTTTGTCGGTCACGTAATTAACGAAGAATTATTATGCAGATCTTATTATACAGATGATCAAACATTATTATAATTTGAATATTGTCTATCATATTAATATGATAGAAAATATTGGCTTTATTAAACGACGATTTGTTATACTTTATCCCAATTATGTTAATTAGATTACGTGTTATTTTAATAAATATGTTCATCTGCTATAATGCATATGTATATAAGGCATGCTTTTATTATCTTCTGTATCGTGTGAGAGAATACATTAATTGGATAAAATATAATTTAAATTTCTCGATAAATATAGCCTCATATTATCATCATATGCTTCTGTTACATTCTTCATTATGAAGAAAGAATTAAATAACATAAATTTCAATTTTTAATCATTTTTATTCTGCTAAAAAGTATATGACCTTTTTTTTACATTGCATTTCTCACACGGTATATATTAATGGTGCTATATAAATGATCGTTGAAAAGAGGGAAATAAGCCAGAAGAAAGAAAGAGGCATAAAACTCCGCGCGCAGCATTGCAAGAGTGCTACTAATTAGAGTCATCAAGCCAGTTGAACAATTATGATTAACTGTATACAATGCCTAAATGCTCACACCAACCGTCATGTTTACGAGTCGCCGAGTTCGTTCTATTTCACTTATACCTACTTCTAGTATCATTTTTATTAGAGGAAGAAAATGATACTTGCGATCAATCACGGACATATTATCTCCGACGCATATTACAATATATTAAAAAAAACATTTTGGCAATAAAATTTTAATGATTTAGGAAATATTTTAACATTAGAATCAATTAGAAATAATTGTGTAAAAGATAATTAATTGGAGAAATGAGAAGGTGCAAAGAGCACAAAAAGAAAAAATACTGGTGATCGGAGCGATTTCTAAGAGAAGACGATTCACTGACATCCTCCTTTTTCGAGAGAAAGGAACGTCTTTGTTATATATTCGGGAAACCGGAAGATAAAGAGTGGCAAGAGTCTTTTAAACGAGAGTCAATTTCGAAACGCTTGTGTAGAAAGAGAGAAAGCGAAAGTAAATGATGTGGCACAGTAAAGATAACGATTTAGGTTTGACTTTATCGCCGGGAAGCTAGGGCCAATGACTCGATGAACTCACCTCAAGTCTCGACACTACTCAATTTATAAGCGCTATGCGTGGTGCCTTGAATACCAAAGTGTATCATCAGTTTTTCTGACGCGAAACAATAACTAATAATTAAATTAACGCTGTGCATAATTACGTAGATATAAATTATGTTCGTTTTCTTGGACCCAGGATAATTTTAGGTATTATCATGCCCATATAAAATAGATTGCACTGCGTGAAATAAAACTAATTACGATTAATTTATTTGAAAAATAAAATTATTGTAATATTGAGTATAATGATTTCGGTAATTTTTATACAAATTTATATAATTCTATATGATTGTCTAATGTTTTCCAATATTTAATATATAATATTATAAGAATTTTCTATTTTCTTCTCTTTCTACAAATTTTTATAAGAAAATAATGTCTCGTTATAGAAGATCTCATTAAAAAAAAATTCAAAGATATCATTATTTAAATATAATTATTTCTATTATTACCAGGATATTGTGTGAATTATAAATTGCTAATATTGCTAACATATGTTAATTACCAATACAACGATATATACAACATGATCAATTTTGAACTTGGTTAGTTTTTAACGAGGAGTGAAATTGATTCGCATGATACGCTGAAAATAAAATTGGCTATTTCTATATATAAAAAAACAAATGTAGATAATAAAGGTAACAAGTTCAATAAAAATTTTTACGGTGCATTTTTTGAGGGGAAAAAATTCTAAAGCTTGTACGACTATGTCAACTACACAGACGAAACAGGCCGTATTTCTCCGTGAAATTTAACGAACCCTCTTGCAATGGGACACCATTAAAAAAAATTCTTGAGCCTCATGTCGCAGAACGCACGCAATGGTGATGAACGTCACGAGTGAGAGAGAGAGAGAGAGAAGGAAAAGGACGGATATAAAGAGAAAAACAAGAAGAAAGAGCGACGACATCGCGAGGCGTTTCACGCGAACTTATGCAAATGCAGCGCAACGCGCAGTTAAGTAATGTTTATGGCTATATACATAAACATTATTATTTATAATTTCGGCATTCCGGTAGAACCGCGGATAACATTATCAGATAAGGGACAACAATAAGTATTGGCGTGGGGATTTCGGACAGATAGCACTGTGATGTCGTAATATAAACTGGAGTGACCTCTGACTTTCGATAAATATTTCTCGACGATTTATAAATTCCACATAAATATGTGATAAAATGTTCAATATATGGTATATATTTTTCAAGACTAAATAAAAATTCCGATATAAAGTAATTAAATATAAATTGGAATTTATATTAAGATTTAGAAGAGGGATTTTCGTAATGCATATAGGAACACGATATACGTGAATTTGTTTTCTAATTATAATTATGCATCTTGCAAAATTCAGTCGCTATTACGATCGAGTTTCTATCGAACAATCGACGTTTGCCGATTTTTCGACAAAGTAAAAAAGAGCTTATCGCGCACGTACGTAGACTAGGTAGTTTTAATTATTTAAGCTGACATCGAGTGCACTCTCGCCGAAAAAGTTTGTGCCGCGGTGGAAACTCGAAAGTGCATTTCGTGCACGTAACGAACTTAAATGGTCAGAGCGTGCACACCGGTTGCCCCGCGACCATTATCAGATCAATAATTGCGAAGGAGAGAACTAAACTTCTCGAACTTTGAACTGTTTCTAGTAAATTCATACTGCCACCCGGGCTCCAACTTCTCTTCGTAAACCGATAAAAGATATCGATGATCTTTGAGACAGTTATTAATGGCCTGATAAAGTTGAATAAATAATAAAAATATAACTGTAAAAATCTAATTTCAGATTCTCAGAATCCCTCTTTTTCTTTATCAATTTTTTATTCATAGTATATAGATAAAATATTACATAAAATTAAATGACAAATCAAGAATCATATAGATACGAGATAAGAATGATATAAATAGATATAAATTATATAAAATTTAAACGTTCGAATAATAAAACAGATAAAAATGAGAAACGCAAGATTTTAATTAAAATGAAGATATCTAGTAAATAAGTATCATGTGCATCAGAAATCACCGCACGTGCTTCTAATTTTGCGTGACTATATTCTACGCACAATAATCGTTTAGGTATATTAGGCCAATGCAATCTTGGCTGACACACAACTGTTGCGGTGCATAATTATTATTCGCCACACGTTATGGTATGTTCCAAACCGCAAGGCGGCACGGTGTCTAGAATCGATATTCTCAGGTTAACCATATACTCACACGTATAAGGGATAGAGGGGCTCATGTCGTTGATCGTCACGTCGTCCAATTAAGGTCTTGAGGTCGTTAACGAGCAAAATAATTAGTACAACGATGGCGAGGACAACGGTTCGTTAGCCTATCTTCCTTTTTTAAAACCACGTTACCATCGCGCTACATCTGGCAAGACGCAAAAAGCGCCAGACGTATCCTTTAAAAGTGATGGCGAGAGAGGCACATCGTGAATTAATATATACGTCTAACGAAAGATTCACATGCCGAATATCTGCAAAATCATTACGCGCTTGCGAGAAATCGAGATTCTGTATTCGCAAAAAGAGCCAATTTTTTCAAAGCAATTCATTTTCGGAATTTTTCTTTTTTTATTATTGAATTACCCGTGATTAGAAGCACGTCTCGTTTCCTTTGCAAAAACACAAGAAGTTTTCGCTGCGAATCATTCGAGAAGGAAGCTTATACGTCACGTTTAACCGATTGTCATCGTGTTTCGCTATTGGCCCGTCTATCGCTGATAGTAATTGGATTCGATCGGAAAATTCCATCCGTCCGTGGGAGCTTTGGGAGTTAAAGCGCGGCGTTAACGAAACTTTAACGTCGAGTTAACGACGCGA